CTACTCAATGTATTTTTGTTCCGCGTGTTTGGGGGGGGGGGGGGGGGTCAGTGTCCTGCCCAAGGACACTTTGGCATGTGGACTGCATGCACTGAGATTTGAACCTTCAACCTTCTAGTTGGGAGATGACTGCTCTACCCACTGCACTGTCCCCTCCCCCTAAAACAAGAAGTTCATAAATTAATTAGTGGGTGGTGGTTAAAACAGCAAATAAATAATAGAAACAGGGAGAGCACTAGAAATATTGCTGCCCCTGCTGCAAGCTCCAGAGCAGGTCAGTGCTTGGACAGCAATGACAGTACTTATGAACCAGATCCATAAATGTGAGATATGTGTTACCCAGTCTGTAATGAAAACTGAAAACCAACATGAGATTTAAAACTCACCATACAGCCCTGCTACGATTATACTGTCATGATTCTGTCCCGCCTGTTTCCAGTATCATGCTTTTATTTTGTTATCATTTCCTGTTTCCTGTTTTCAGTTTCATATGGACTCTTTACACTAATCAACACTCATTGTTTACACCTGTTTTCAGCCTGTTATTTCTGCTTACCCCGTCGGCATTATTGGCAGCTTTATACGCCGACCCCTGACATATACATTTGATTGTTTTGCTTTCAATGTGTTGATATTTAAATTTGAAGCAAAAAATAAAACATAAAAATAAAAAGGTCCACAGAGAGAACTGTGAGAAATTAATTCTTCAATTTAAAGGACAAAATCAGAAAAACAAATAAAAAAAGACAAAATCAAGATGCCCCGCTCCTTTTATTGTTTATCATTATGTGCACATTAATACAGAGCTAAGTGTTTATATGGATGAAAATTGTTTTGAGGCTTTTATTTAACAGAAAATTTGATCTTTACTAGAGTTTGTTATAGTCTCTAAATTATCAGATTATGTTTGAGACAGTTTTCTTTGAAAGCTCATTGCATTCAGCAAAGACAAAACACTGATTTATCTTGGAATTGCTGTCCGATAATGATGAGACCCATCACTTGTAATTATAAGAAAACATTTCATATATATGACTTAATACATCATTATTACAAGACCTGGACTTTGTAAATATTAACAGCAAAGCTCTGTGTTCATTCCATGTGTTAATAAGAAACTGTTGAAGCACATCTGCTTGTCACAAAAGAAATCTTGAATGAGAGACTAAATCACATTTAACAGGGAAGGTAGTCAGTTTTCTTTTAGTCAATGCAAAGCAAGCCCACACATTTCCCCTCTCACAGGGTGAAAAGCAGATGACCACTGAAGGTGCTATGGTGGTTCTGATTATCATGTATCTTTGTGCCAGTCCACTGATGCACACACACAGTGTCTCCGGCCTCTAGAAGCAGTGACGCACTTTGAGAAGAAGCCCCATAACCAGCTGTCTGATGCTCATATGCAGTAAAAATGTGGTTTGTGTTCTTGACCAACACAGCAGCTGTGTTACTTGAATCAACACCGATGTGCCACTCGAAGTGATAGACTCCTCTCACCGCTGCAGTGAAAACACCTGTGGACATTTGTTTTAGTCATTCATGTGGAAAATCAGCTGTTATTCTTTCAATGACATGAACATGGCAGAAAGGTGGAAGCTTTGTTAAAATGTCTGAGTTACCTGTGTTTGGGTCGTAGGCACTTCCGATGTTTGTGACGACATTTTTAAAGACCAGAGCAGTGTGTCCGTTGAAGGGTCCGATAGTTGCCTCGCCGTCGGACAACAGCGAGGCTGAGAAAGCCACCTGCCCGGCTGAGGGAAGGAAAGTAGAGGCATTACCTCAGCAGTCTACAGATACAACAATGTGAGCGTTATTTGTACTGTCCACCTTTTTAAGAAGAATTTTGGCTCATAAACATTTTCAGAATGAAAATATTCAAGCATTAAAATGCTCACTTTGAGTCTCGCCTTCTCCAAAAACTGACAGAATGTCAGCTAACTCTACTATTTGCTAATAATTTCTTGAAAGTTTCCTGTAAAGACCCATGTAGTTTGGTACTATTAACAGAAAACAGAGACAACCTCTGAGACTGCTCGCTGAGTTAGTCCGCTGAGTTTATTCAGGAATTTCCATGAACAAAATTGCTTAAGTTTAAACTACAGTTAATATGGACTTTTCAATTATTATTTGAAAGTGTATTCATCCGTGATACTGAATTGTGTAGTTGTTTGTAGACTGATTTCCCACTTTGCATGTGTAGCTCACCTTTTGTCCTCTGACTAAAATCCTCAAGTGCATTTAGAAATAACTACAAGTGTACCAACTGATCACTCTCTAATTTTACCTTTAATTAGTACCAAATTAGATCATTCTTTCCAGGAAACTATTTGGATTGTACAGACATGTAACATAAAGTGTTACCAAATTTCACATTTCCCCAGGGGAAGTTAAAATGAGCTAAAAACTGCTGTGGTCCCAAACATAATTTTTAACCCATTTTATTGGGAACTCACACTAATTAGACAGTAACATTGTTTTATAATTTTCTCAAGATCTCTTATTTGTGATACACTAAATACCTACTCACCCATCGAGGCCCACATACTCACAGTTAGAAACAGAAGCAGCATGTTTAGAAAATTGTTGCATGTATTCAGACTTGGTGATATAGTGTACGGCATTTGAAATATGTATTTTATTATTATATTATATTATGTACTTTAAGAATATTCTTTGATTGTGCATCTATAGAGAAAGAACATAAAAGCAAAAAAATAACTAAAAATGCACATGGTAGAAAAGTTCTACTTCATACACAGTACATACAGTCCAGTCCCCCCCTGGCCATATGGACACCATATTAATCTATGCTGCTGACAGCACCACCATGTGGTTAGTTAAAGATCTCTTACCCTGGAACTTTGACACATCGACGGACTCCTACACACTGACCATTTGTAGGAGATTACATCTGGTGCATGCCCCCCTGAGCATGCAGTCAACATAGTGAAGCTTCAAACTGCTAGCGCCACCATATGGCAAGATTCAACTGCAGCTAAATGTGGCTGGTAGATTCACAAACAACCAATAGCTGAGCAGAATTTGATAGTTTTCACCTGTAGGTGGTTCTACAGTATTAAAACAACCTGAAACATCAGTGCAGTGTGACGTGGCTGTGAAACCGTGTGTCTCTATGTGATACCATGCAGCTGTTGCTTCAGCTTGTCAGTCTCCGTTTTCTGCCCATCGAGCTCAAACTTCTGGCTCTGCATCTCAGTTTTCTGCTTCTCCAACTCAGCCCTCACCTCTTGCAGCTTTGCTGCTTGTGCTACGAAAGAGCATAAATAACTTTGTGAGATTTATTTTACTGCACCATCAGTTTCTTTGAAATTTCTCCAACATGTGTAATAAACTTGATTCAGTGAACAACAGACAAGCCAACATGCTGAGATACTGACATCACACTGTACCTTCATTCTCTCTCTGTAACAGCCTCATCTCCACCTTCTGTTCAGCCAACGAGGCGGTCAGCTCTTTCAGCGCAGCATGGACGTCCTGCAGACACGGCTGCTGGTAAGAGATCTGCTGTGCAGTGGTTTCCACATCTGTCCCTGTATTGCTGTGCTCTGTGGAGACAGAGCAAACCAGCAACAGCAGGCAAACCACAGTGATCCCCATTCCCACTCAGGATGTTGACAGTCAGACTGTGTCCTCTGTGAACATGTGGGACCTTTGTACAGCACAGCAACAGGAGGGTGAGAGTTCAGGGAGGAGGAGAGCGCAAACAGGTTGAGAGGCAGTGGCTTCACTCAACAAACAATCATGTCTCATAGCAAATTAACAGGACAGAAAACAAGACAATAAATACAGGACATTCACAAAAAAGACAAAGGGGGTTTAACATTTGGTTTGTGTGTGTGAGGGTGTGTTTAAGTTGATGCAGTCTGGTACATATTAAACAGGAGGGAGGGGGAGTAAAATGTATAAGGATAATAACAGTGGTGGTTAAAACAGCAAATAAATAATAGAAACAGGGAGAGCACTAGAAATATTGCTGCCCCTGCTGCAAGCTCCAGAGCAGGTCAGTGCTTGGACAGCAATGACAGTACTTATGAACCAGATCCATAAATGTGAGATATGTGTTACCCAGTCTGTAATGAAAACTGAAAACCAACATGAGATTTAAAACTCACCATACAGCCCTGCTACGATTATACTGTCATGATTCTGTCCCGCCTGTTTCCAGTATCATGCTTTTATTTTGTTATCATTTCCTGTTTCCTGTTTTCAGTTTCATATGGACTCTTTACACTAATCAACACTCATTGTTTACACCTGTTTTCAGCCTGTTATTTCTGCTTACCCCGTCGGCATTATTGGCAGCTTTATACGCCGACCCCTGACATATACATTTGATTGTTTTGCTTTCAATGTGTTGATATTTAAATTTGAAGCAAAAAATAAAACATAAAAATAAAAAGGTCCACAGAGAGAACTGTGAGAAATTAATTCTTCAATTTAAAGGACAAAATCAGAAAAACAAATAAAAAAAGACAAAATCAAGATGCCCCGCTCCTTTTATTGTTTATCATTATGTGCACATTAATACAGAGCTAAGTGTTTATATGGATGAAAATTGTTTTGAGGCTTTTATTTAACAGAAAATTTGATCTTTACTAGAGTTTGTTATAGTCTCTAAATTATCAGATTATGTTTGAGACAGTTTTCTTTGAAAGCTCATTGCATTCAGCAAAGACAAAACACTGATTTATCTTGGAATTGCTGTCCGATAATGATGAGACCCATCACTTGTAATTATAAGAAAACAGAGTACAAGGGTTAACATCTTTCCCCTCTCACAGGGTGAAAAGCAGATGACCACTGAAGGTGCTATGGTGGTTCTGATTATCATGTATCTTATTTTCAGTCCACAGTCGCACACACACAGTGTCTCCGGCCTCTAGAAGCAGTGAAGCGCTTTGAGAAGAAGTCCCATAACCAGCTGTCTGATACTCATGTGAACTAAAAATGTGGTTTGTGTTCTTGACCAACAAAAACCGTTACTTCCAGTGGAGGCGATGCTTGACAGTTGCAGATTTTTAAATTATGAACAAGACACAAAACATTTTAATGAGTGAATTTCTGATTCTGGATTGTACCTTCTCGGAAAAACAGAAACAAAATCCGTTACTTCCAGTGGAGGCGATACTTGACAGTTACAAGCATTTCATTGTTACAGGAGCAGCTTTGATCTGTTTACCCAGTCACACGCTGGTGGACAACCACAGACACTGGAAGGTGTGGACTGGGAATCGAACCACCAGCTTTCTGGTTTGAGATGACCTGCGCTACCCTCTGAGCCCGGTCGTGTAGATAGTGAAACATGATACCAGTAGTGCCACAAGCAGTGGTGGAAAGTAACTAAGTACACTTACTCAAGTACTGTACTTAAGTACAATTTTGAGATATCTGTACTTTGAGTATTTTCATTCTCTACTACTTTCTACTACTACAAGCTACTCAGCAGTATGTAAAGTCTTTACATTAAAACTAGCTCTACCTTTACCAGCTCCTGTCAGGTTTGCTGCCACTGCCTGTCTGTCTGTCTGTCTCTCTCTCTCTTAGTGTGTCCGTCGAAGGGTCCAGTAAGTCCACTGCCTTCAGCCAACAGAGAGGCTGAGAAAGCCACCTGTCGATCTAACAGAGACACCTGTACTTATTGCACTGTCTGCCACTTTAGGCAGATTTTTAAATTATGAACAAGACACAAAACATTTTAATGAGTGAATAAATTCATTTAATCAGTAAGATTGTTTCTTGTGCACCTTTATCAACGGTGCATCTCCCTGGGAATCCAGCCTGTCTCCAGCTACCTGGGCTACTCTTCTGCTGCAGCCTCCAGCACAAGCTCCAGCCCCAGCTCGCAGCCTCACGATCCCTAGCAGCAACTCACCTGATCAACACGTCACTGCCTGGGCCTCTTGTCTGCTGCGCCCTCAGCTCCAGCCCCTGCCACAGTTTTCCTGCTCTGGTTCGAGCAGACTCTCTTATTTCTGTTCTGCCACAAGTCCCTTCAGTACCCATTATCTGCTGTCAACATTCAGTAATAAAACCACTGTCCATAACCGGTTCTCTGCAGTTTGATCCCAGCTTATTTCCTAAGCTGGTTGATGCCAATACTTTGTACTTTTACTTAAGACTTTGAATGCAGGAATTTTACTTTTACACATTGGTGTTGCTACTTTACTTCTTCCACCACTGGCCCCACGTAGTTCAACAGTGTCTGTAAATACTGTGCAGTTTGAGGGTTTGGCCACCACAGGGCGCTGCCAGTGAACTTTGTGCAAATGAAAATCCTCTGTGCAGCAAGCTGCTGACAGCAGTCGCACACATTTCTGCCAAAATGCCACTTGGTGATTAGCTCTGGATCTAATCTGGATCCCAGTGGAATACGAGTCCGGTAATTTTATGCAGTACAATATGATGTATGATAAAACAAATATTTTTATTGAAATGTTTTCTGAACAACACCTTGTAACTGTTGCTTCAGCTTGTCCAACTCAGTCCTCAGACTCTCCACTTCTTGCAGCTTTGCTGCTTGTGCTAAAAAAAGAGAATAAAAACACTTTGTAATTTCCGACTTCACTGCACTGTACCTTCCTCTGGAAATTGCTCCAGAATTTTTGCATAATTAAAATTTTGATTGAGTAAATTATTGTCATTTCTGTCCTGCGCTGCCTCGACACAGACAGCTCTGTAACACAACGGTGGCTCACAGGCAAGGCCTCCTAGTGCTGCTACTTCTCTCACTGCCTGACACACAGTAATACTGTACCTTCATTCTCTCTCTGTAACAGCCTCATCTCCACCTTCTGTTCAGCCAACGAGGCGGTCAGCTCTTTCAGCGCTGCATGGATGTCCTGCAGACACGACTGCTGGTAAGAGATCTGCTGTGCAGTGGTTTCCACATCTGTCTCTGTATTGCTGTGCTCTGTGGAGACAGAGCAAACCAGCAGCAGCAGGAAAACCACAGTGATCCCCATTCCCACTCAGGATGTTGACAGTCGGACTGTGTCCTCTGTGAACATGTGGGACCTTTGTACAGCACAGCAACAGGAGGGTGAGAGTTCAGGGAGGAGGAGAGCGCAAACAGGTTGAGAGGCAGTGGCTTCACTCAACAAACACACATTTAGTATCACAGACGTTTGAGAAGCTTTTGTTTGTTCACAGTTATTAATTATCATTAGTTACTATGACGTAAAAATCACTGTATTATTTCTCAATGTAACAGGTTAATTGATAAAGTAACTTTAATTACATTACTGAGCCTAATGAACTAACCCGTTGTACCTGTCTTACTATGGAAACCAGTGATTTTTTTTTCTTCTACTCTCGGTCCAGGGTATTTCATTACCACTGAGCCTCGGCGCTGTATACGTACTGCAGACTGACAGAGGCGCTGTCAGGGAGGAACTTTGCTGACAACTCTGCGCTTCAACTTGTCTGACTAATGATCAATTGAGATGCTGGTTCAGACGGAGGAGAAAAGTAACCATGAGAACAAACTAATCTGGAAGGATCCATTTCCATGGTAACGGGTCAAACTACACTTAAACCTCTATGAAACTGGTTTAACTGGTAGTCCTGCCTTTTAACATGTTTCACTACATCAGTCAAAGGAAGCATCTGATTTTCTGATGTCAGTATGTTGATATCTAAATTGTCCACAGACAGAACTGCAGTTACATGCTTGTTTAATTCAACTGAAAGTCAGACACTGATAAGAAATGTTTGAACGCTTATTTTCTTTTACAAACTGTTGTTGTTCTTCTGCTTTGTGGTCCAACTTTTATGTAAAGAAAATCGACTGCAACGTGCTGTTAAATCCAAGGATTGTTTGATACAACAAGAGCCAGTGACTGTCACACATTTGCAGAAAGAGAGGAGTTGTTTCCTTCATTCATGGTGAAAAGCAGATGTCCACTAAAGGTGGTTTGGTGAACATCATTGTCATAAATCTTAGAGCCAGGCCAGATACGCAGAAACAGGATATCTCCCGGCTCAAGCAGCAGATTAACACCCTGAGAAGAGCTCCCGTAACCGGACATCTGATACTCATATGTGTTAAAAGTGGGGACCGTGTTCTTGATCAACACAGCATCTGAGCCATGCGAAGGTTCTGCAATTACACCGATGTGCCACTCGAAGTGGTAGACTCCTCTCACCGGCACAGTGAAAACACCTGTAGGACAAGAGTGTAAATTAGCCTGACATAGTGGAGCCAGAAAGTGGGACTGATTGTAATATGTCTGAGTCCAGTACCTGTGTTTGGGTTGTACGCATTTCCAATGTTAGTGACGACATGTTTGAAGATCAGAATAGTGGGTGTGCCAAAGGGTCCAAGAGTTAACGCTCCCTGAGCCGAAAGAGAGGCCGAGAAAGCCACCTGTTGGACTGAGAGGAAATTCAGTGAAAATACAGGTTCAGCTGTGACTGAGCAGCAGAAGCAGCTGCAGCGGTCACACATGTTTCTCCAAGAAATATTGTTGTTATAAATAAAATTACTACAAACACCAGTGTTTGGCTTCAATACTGGACACTGTAAATGTTTTGTGAGTAATTACTAGTATGGTACATGTAATGATAGTGTATATAACTATAGTACAACATACAGCCACTTCCAAATGGTAGCTGTTGCTTCAGCTTTTCAATCTCAGCCTCTTGATTCGCCAGCTTTGCTGCTTGTTCTGAAAAAGAGAAGCAGTAGGTTTGTCAGTCTGAGTTTACTGGACCATCATGTTTGTTGGAAAGTGCACCGACATACTGTATGTAATTAAAACTTTGGTTCAGTAAACAATTCAGACCCAACATGGTGAGTTACTTCGTGTCATTTCTGTCCTGCTCTGACAGCTAGGGGCTCAGTAGCTGTGGCCCCTAGAGAATGTCTCCTGATGCTGTCCCTTCCCTCACTGACTGACAACATACTGTACCTTGGTTCTCTCTTTGTAAGGATGATATCTCCACCTCCTTTTGAACCAGCCAGGCCGTCAGCTCTCTCACCACAGCTCCGATGTCCTGTGGCTGTTCTTTGGTCGTAGTCTCCTCTGAGGACACAGAGCAGACCAGCAACAACAGGGAAACCACAGTGATCTTCATTCTCCCTCTGGATGTTTCTGGTCAAACTCTGTCCTCTGCAAACGTGAGACCTTCATATAGCACCGCAGCAGGAGGCTTGAGGGTCGGGGAGGACGCCACACATGTGTGTACACTGTCTGACAGGAAATGCTGCAAGACAAACAACAGAGCCGTTTTTGTTTGTTTAGGAAAAAGATTACTGTAATTCTTTATTTACTTTTTTGTGGTCTTCCTGTTGGTTTGAAGGAGCCAGGGCTTTCTGGAAAAAGGTGATGCCATACATGCTATTTCCCACCAATCAGAACTAGTTGGCCAGTCGCTGCCAATCAAAACACACCCACATGGTTGTGTTAAAGAGGGTCACAGGAGTTGATCAGATGATGAACAGTGATCAGTATTATCAGAAAACAAACATGACAGGTTGGGTAACAGGTGCATCTCTTACAAAACTCTCTGCCACTTATCTTTTTTACAAAAAAGGGGCTTGTGACCGTGGGTGGGTGAGATGCACCTGTTACCCAACCTGTCATGTTTATTAAAACCTAAAATCTACTTTACTGTGGACCACATGGCCCCATGTTCATTTCCATTTATGCCATTTATATTAGTGGAGATAAGGAAGTGTTTTTGACCAACACAGTAGCTGTTACACCTCCAAACACACCGATGTGCCACTCAAAGTGGTAGACTGGAGGCTTTGTTAAATTGTGTTTGGGTTGTAGGCACCTCTGACGTTTGTGATGACATTTTTAAAGCAATAAGGAATCAGAATCGGCTTTACTGGCCAGGTGTGTTGGACACACGAGGAATTTGACTCTGGTACATCGGCTCTCAATGTGCATGTACATATCCCCATGCAAGGGGCAAGTAAACAGTTGTTAGGTTATTTTTTAGTTAGATAGATATTCAGAGATTTGTTGTCTAGGAATGTTTAGTGCAGACAGGGTGACTGGCTTAGGCTGTTAACTGTTCAACCTGCAGTGCAGACTGCAGGCACGTCAAGGTTACAGGAAAACTGCTGTTAGTGTCAACTGTAATGCTAGTCTTAATATTTGTCTTAATGTGTAAGGTTATGTCCAATTGTTTTAGATACACACCACGAAAACAACAGTCACGCACCTTGACTTTTCCTCATGTTTTGGCTAAACGTTATAGCAGCTGCAAGGCTTGCTTATCGGGTGACGTCACGGTTCGACAGCCCAGAAAGGATTAATATTGTATAGCAATGCTTGGGTCGGGGTCTTTTGGGTTTCCGGGCTGCTTTGGCAGCCTGGGGGTTGGAAGATCTCTGGACTGGAAGTGTGAATTCTTGCCTGTGACTCTTTGAATAAACCAGCACGGTTATATTAGAAAGTGGTGCAAACAATGCAAAATAAGCAGTATAACCAGGCAGTAAACAATGCAGACAGACAACAAGGCTGAGAAAGTCACCTGCTGGGCTGAGAGAAAGAAAGAAGAGCATTACTTCAGCAGTTTACAGATACAACAATGTGAGCATTATCCACATGTGTTTGTACTGTCCACCTTTTTAGGAAGGTTGTTGGATCATAAACATTTTCAGAATGAAAATCTTCAAGCATTAAAATGCTCAATGAGTCTCGCCTTCTCCAAAACAATAATAAAATACCAAGACATTTTTCTCCAATGAAATCTTGTTTGACAGTTAAGAGATATGTTTGGTACCACAGCTAAACGCTCCTGGGGTAAAACGCATATCATTTCATTGGTTTTCTTGGGATCACATTCCATTGATGAATTTATGACAGAAAACATGGACTTTTTTTTGAGAAATAAAACAGTTTTCCCTTCATATACTCATGGAGGGAGATGGGCCTTATCCGGGCCTGTGCAGGCACAGTTAGAGACATGATTCTGGTTTTTATTCGTACATGTTTGTCCTTAGCTGTCTATGCACATAGACACATTCTCTCTGAGCAGCAACATATTCAAATATCCTCACAGTGGCTCCACCATGTGGTGGGTTAAAACCCTGTTACACTGCAAACTTACTTTACTGCAGTTCTCCTGAGCATGTAAGCGACACAGTGAAGTTTGAAACCAGTGTGACCAGTTGCAAAACACTGCTGAATCTCATTATCCAGCTGTGTGTCACACACACAACCAGCCAGTCATGGGGAATTGCCTAACCCCTACTTGTGCTGCTTTCTAGTCTCATACACTTCAAATTAAACCATTAGTGAATGGAGTTCGGTATTAAAATGGAACGTTTAGGCTCCTGCTACGTTAAACAATACCAAAGTGGAAGTGTGCTACACCTGAGCCTGTGTTAAAACAAAAAACATTTTTATTAGGTTTAGCTTTTTGTTGTTAAACATAATTTTTTACGTATGTTCACAGCTGGGTGACTGCTACTGAGTCCCAGAGCGGGACGCGCGCCTCCTGTCTTCTCTTACGTCCGCGCCTCGGTGGAGCCACTTCTTCGTGGGGCGCTATACAGGGTACAACCTGCCGGAAATGTATTAGAAGAAGAAGAAACTTCTCTTTCGTCTTTGTAAGAAAAAAACTTGTGAAAACGACTTCCGCGGAAAGCGAGGAGTAGAAGTCAAAAGAGGAGAGGAGAAACGGGAGACAACGTTAGAAAGAACGAGCTGAGGCTGCGGGATGGACGTGTCCAGCAGACTGGTGGTGTGGCAGCAGCTGGCTGAGAGCTCAGGGCTCAGCACGGTCCAGCAGGGCTGGGAGCAGGTTTGGAGGCTGCTGCTGCTCTGCCTCATGTGCAGACTTTGCTTCAGACTGCCAGGCGTGTCCACAGTGAAGCATGCCGTGTCCGTGCTGTCCGGGATGTACGGTCTCTTCCTGTTCTTTGAGCTGCACATGCTGTGGGTGCTGCTGCTCAGTATGCTCTGCTACCTGGTCTTGCTGCTCAGCAGACACTCCAGCAGCAGAGGCCTCTTCCTCTCGCTCATCATCCTCATCTACCATCTCATAGGGGAGCTGCATTTGATTGACATGGTAACCTGGCATAAAATAAGAGGCTCTCAGATGGTGGTGGCCATGAAGGCCATTTCTCTGGCCTTTGAGCTGGACAGAGGAGCAGTGCGCAGCTTGCCTTCCCCTGTTGAGTTCCTGGGCTATGTTTTCTTTGTGGGTACTGTTGTCTTTGGTCCTTGGATCAGCTTCTCCAGTTATAAGGATGCAACTGAAGGCAGACGTCTGAGCTGGTTGTGGCTGAGGAGCTCGTGTGTCAGCCTCCTGAAGAGTCAGATTTGTCTGCTGGTCTCCACCTGCGTTGCCCCTTATCTCTTCACTTTATTCATCCCAGTCCATGGAAACCCAGTCATACAGAAGTGGCTACATGCATATGAGAACGCATTGTCCTTCCACTTCAGCAACTACTTTGTCGGGCACCTCAGCGAGGGCACCATTATGCTGGCTGGAGCAGGCTTCACAGAGGAGAAGGAGCACATAAGGTGGGAGACGTGTGTGGTGAAGCCGCTCAGTGTGGAGATTCCTCGCTCCATGGTGATGGTGGTGACGTCGTGGAACATCCCTATGTCTCGCTGGCTGAAGACCTATGTTTTTAAAAATGCCATGAAGCTGGGGACGTTTGCAGCCATCCTGATGACATACACAGCCAGTGCCCTGCTCCACGGCCTGAGTTTTCACCTGGGAGCAGTTCTGCTCTCTCTGGGTTTCATCACATATGTTGAACATGTTCTGAGAAAGAGGCTCGCATCCATCTTCAGTGCCTGCATCCTGTCCAGGCCCTGCTCCTCAGGCTGCAGCCACCAGCACCGGAGCGAGTACTGGGTGATGCTGCTCAACTTGGTCTTCAGCCTCCTGGCCATCTTCCACCTCACCTACCTGGGCTCCATGTTTGATCCTGGAGTTGACGAGCAGGATGTAGAGGAGGGTTATGCGGCCATCCACACCATCCAGAGGTGGTCTGAACTGAACTGGGCGAGCCACTGGGCTGTGCTGGCCTGCTGGGTCTTCTACCGTTTAATTCTGTGACGCTCGTGATAATGGAAAGACTGTAGTACTCCAGATACTTCACAATGATTTTGTCAGCGAGTATCAGGGTGGGAACAAGGTGGAAAAAGTGACCATCATGGATGTGAGGCACATCTGTACAGCTCGAGGCCTGCTGGTCCACCAGCGACTGAGTTATGTACCTGCTGTTGTACTTTGACATATAAACAGTACCTAGATTTCAGCTGCACACCTGGTGTATAAGATGTCGAGTCTGGATGAAGTCTCATCTCTATCGTGTAAAACCAGCTCAACTGCAGTAACGTTCAGTGTTTTTTATGGGATGTTTCTTTCCAGTCAACATGAATTATCTGCTGAGCCTGACTTGTGCATCCTCAACAGTTCTTTGAATAAATGGAAATTAAATTTCTTGTAGCCATTTTAAATGGTAAAACTTTGCTGTTCTGACAAACACTAAGTTCTAATGTTAATAGCACACTTTTATATGTAAACCTCTAGATGAGTGAGGTGCTGAGTTCTGTTTCTCATCCTAAGTAGAGAATTTTGGAATAAATTAAGCTGAAAATATCCATTTAATGCAACATTGTCTACATAATATAAATTCTTGTGTTTTTACAGGAAGGTTCACAGGCCATGTTGACCCTGGCACCTGCTGCTGACAGTGCATTGAAAGTAACACCTACATTTAACAGACTCAACCCCTACATTCATTAATTAGGAGTTTTGTTCAGAATGTGTTGAAGAGTTTGACATTTAATTAACAGGATTTCTAGGCGCATCACAGTTGAACATACAACATACTCAGCTGTGAACTAGGGGTGGGCGGATCGATCCTTAAGTATCGATACATCGATTCTAGGCGTTGTATCGATAAGGATCGATCCTCACATAAAAATATCGATATTAAGGGTTTTTAAAATTTATTTAGCATGAAATATATTTAAAACGAGCTTGTATAGAACTCTGTCTCTTATGCAGCTCCTTTCACACGCACATTGTTCACCCCTCCCTGCTTTGCTGTGTTTCGTTGTCCTACCATCACGTGACTCAGCAGCGCCATATCCAAGCAAGCAGAGTCTTTTAGCTGCAGTGCCAGTGAGTGAGAGGTGGTATCATGGCGGACAAAAAAAGGAGTGTTGTGTGGAAGTATTTTACAACCTTTAATGAAAACACAGCGAATTGTGATATATGTAAGAAGGCCATTCGCTACTGTGGCAACACAACTAATTTGCACAAACACATTAAACAACATGAAAAAGAGAACAACGAACTGCAAAAGCAAAGAAGAGAGGAGGGAAATCCTCCAGACAGACCCCCGGCAGTGAGACAGACGTCACTGGCAGAGTCATTTGAGCTTCAGAGAGGCAAAGAATATCCAGGTAGCTAACATCGGTGAAAATATGTTTTTGTATGGTGTCCGAGTATGGGACATCATACTTGGTCACCGGTCACGTCCTTTC